CCTCGTCACCGCGCCCATTTCAGCGCGCCCCTCGCACGCTTCGCGGCCCCATAGGGAGCTCCACCGAAGGCTCCAGTGGCTGCGTTGGCATGGCGGCGCCGCATCCAATTTGGCACACCCCTCGCACGTTTCGTGGCCCCATAGGGTGTTCCACCGAAGGCCTCAGTGGCTGCGTTGGCATGGCGGCGCCGCACCCATGTCGGCACACCCCTCACACGCTTCGTGGCCCCATAGGGAGCTCCACCGAAGGCCCCAGTGGCTGCGTTGGCATGGCGGCGCCGCACCCATTTCGGCACACCCCTCACACGCTTCGTGGCCCCATAGGGAGCTCCACCGAAGGCCCCAGTGGCTGCGTTGGCATGGCGGCGCCGCACCCATTTCGGCACACCCCTCACACGTTTCGTGGCCCCATAGGGAGCTCCGCCGAAGGCCCCAGTGGCTGCGTTGGCATGGCGGCCGCAGCACACCATTTCGGCACATTCACACGCTTCGTGGCCCCATAGGGAGCTCCACCGAAGGCCCCAGCGGCTGCGTTGGCATGGCGGCGCCGCACCGATTTCGGCACACCCCTCACACGTTTCGTGGCCCCATAGGGAGCTCCACCGAAGGCCCCAGCGGCTGCGTTCGCACGGCGGCGCAGCACCCATTTCGGCACACCCCTCACACGTTTCGTGGCCCCATGGGAGCTCCACCGAAGGCCCCAGTGGGCATGGCGGCGCCGCGCCCATTTCGGCACACCCCTCACACGCTTCGTGGCCCCATAGGGAGCTCCACCGAAGGCCCCAGCGGTGGCGCTGGCATGGCGGCGCCGCGCCCATTTCGGCACACCCCTCACACGCCTCGTGGCCCCATAGGGAGCTCCACCGAAGGCCCCAGTGGCTGCATTGGCATGGCGGCGCCGCATCCAGTTCGGCACACCCCTCACACGTTTCGTTGCCCCATAGGGAGCTCCACCGAAGGCCCCAGCGGCTGCGTTCGCATGGCGGCGCAGCACCCATTTCGGCACACCCCTCACACGTTCCGTGGCCCCATAGGGAGCTGCACTGAAGCTCCCAGTGGCTGCGTTGGCATGGCGGCGCCGCGCCCATTTCGGCACATCCCTCACGCGTTCCGTGGCCCCATAGGGAGGTCCACCGAAGGCCCCGGTGGCTGCGTTCGCATGGCGGCGCCGCACCCATTTCGGCGCACCCCTCACACGCCTCGTCGCCCCATAGGGAGCTCCACCGAAGGCCCCAGTGGCTGCATTGGCATGCGCCCACCGCATCAATTTCGGCACACCCCTCACACGTTTCGTGGCCCCATAAGGAGCTCCACGTCCACGACTCGCGCGCGTCGCTGGGACCCTCTCGGTGCGATCAGCGCGCGTCGCGCAAACTCCGCGCTGCGCTCTGCCCAGCGCCTCGCCCGGCCTTCGCCGCTTTTCCAGCGGCCAGAGCCAGGCGCGCTATCAGTTAGCCAGCAAGCACTGTCTGCCCTGCACAGCGGACGAACCGCGCGCGTCACTGTGACCCCTTCGGGGCGACCTGCGCGCGTCGCGAGGGCCCCGCGTTGCGCTGCGCCCGCAGCCTTGGACTTTGGAGCGCGCGGGCAAAGAGGAAGGAACACGAGGAGATGAAGCGGGCGCGATCCTCGGTGGGGCGTGCCGACATGGGCGTCGCGGCGCGCGGGCGCTGCCGTCGGGGTTCCAGGGGGGCCCCCTGCGGAGGCTACATTCAGTGTCGCGAGTTCACACTCGGAGACATTTACACTAGGCGTATCCATGCTCGCAGGCATGCGAATAGAATCAATCGCGCGCAGACTCATTCATAATCAGACTCAATCGCGCTCAGACTCACCCGCGCTCAAGATTTCATACTCAGGCCGATCGTCTTCCGTTTCGTATTCCGTTCGTATCGTGTACCCGGCCACACACGTCGGCACCCCCCATCGCGCGGCTAGCGGCCCCGCAGGGCTCGCCACCAAAGAAGACGTTCACAATAGCTGTATTCACAGCTGCATATGGTTGGGTCCTTCGCCAGGCTAATTTTTCTGCGCTCCGTGTTTTTGTTGCTCCCTAGGGTTGCCCGACCATCCCGGGCTTTCGGGGGAAGTGCGATGGGCGCCACTGCAGGACCCGGCGTTTTCGAAATGTTTTTCTCAGGCGCCCCCGGGGCCCGCAATGAAGAACAGCTTTGTTGCCCCAGCCATCCTGTGGCGCTTGTCCTCGTTTTGCAGAGACAGCCCCCCCCCCCCGCGTTCCATCCTCATTTCCCCCCCCCCCCCCTTCCCCCCTCCTCTCGCCCTCGGCCCCTGCTGTTTCGCGCGCGCATTTCGGCGCGCCTCTCGCGCGGTTCGTAGCCCCGTAGGGAGCTCCACCGAAGGCCCCAGTGGCGGCGTTCACATGCGCCTTCCCCGCCCGCCGCATTCCGATGTCGGCGCGCCCGTGATGCGTCTCGCGGCTTCGAAGCGCCCCACCGAAAGCCCCGCGGGCAGCGTGCACCTGCGCCCCCCCCCCCCCCGCCCCCCGCATAGATATTTCGGCGCACCCCTGAGACACGTCGTGGCCCCATAGGGAGCTCCTCCGAGGGCCTCAGTGGGAGCTTCCATGCGCGCCCACCGCATGCCCGTTTTGGCACGCCCCTGACATTACTCGTGGCTCCACATAGGGAGCTCCGCCGAAGGCCCCAGCGGCAGCGCCCACGTGCCCCCCCCCGCCCACCGCGCGCCAATTTCGGCACGCCCATCACGCGTTTCGTGGCCCCGTCGGGAACTCCACCGAAGGCGCCAGTGGCAGCGTCCACATGCTTCCTCCCCCCCCGCCGCATGCCCATGCTGGCGCGCCCCTCGGACGGTTCGTGGCCCCATAGGGAGTTCCACCGAAGTCCTTAGCGGCAGCGTTCACATGCGCCCTCCCCGCTTCCGCATGCCAGTTCCCGCGCGCCCCTCAAACGGTTCGCAGCCCCACAGGGAGTTCCTTTGGAGGCCCCAATGGAAGCGTCCACATGCGCCCCCCCCCCCGCCGCATGCTTGGCCCCCCCACCCCACGCGGTTCGTGGCCCCATAGAGGGCTCCACCGAAAACCCAAGTGGCAGCGTCCACATACGCCCATCCCGCCCGCCGCATGCCCATGTCGGCACACCCCTCACACGGTCCGTGGCCCCGTCGGGAGTCTGGCCGAAGGCCCCGTGCCGCCGGAGAGTTTACAAAAGCATGTGGGGCAGTTTGCGGCGCGCACGAAGCGGTGCAGGAGCGAGGCGACGGCCTTCGCCAGCGAGCTCGGCTTCACCGAGTTTATCCGCGAGGCCTGACCTGGGGAGCTGGCCCGCGCGGTCAACTCCTTCTTTCGATTGTCCGACCTTTTGGTCCCGCGCCGCCGGCGACCCGCCCGCTTCGCTGGAACCCTTTCGGGGCGACCAGCGAGCATCGCGGGAACTCATTGTTGCGGTGTGCCCACCGCCCCGCTGGCCCGTCGTCGCTTTGCCAAGCGGCCGGAGCCTTGCCCGCTATCTGCCAGACAGCTAGCTCTCTTTGATCCGCGCAGCGGGCGACCCGCGCAGCGGGCGACCCGCGCTCGTCGCTGGGACCCCTTCGGGGTGACCGGCGCGCGTCGCGGGGAGTCCGTGTTGCGCCGCGCCCGCAGCCTTGGATTTTGGAACGCGCGGGCAAAAGGGGATACCATGACGGGAAGGACCAGATTGGACTGTCTAGACTTTCTCGTGCCATTCCATCGGGATCATCGAAAGGATCGCGGACATAGGAGGCCCCGCCGAAGGCTCTATAGGGCGTTCCACCGCAGCGTCCACATGCGCCGACCCCGTTTCCGAATGCCCATCTCTGCGCGCCCCTCGCACACATCGTGCCCCCGCGAGGAGCTCCACCGAAGATGATTATCACGACTGCGGTGGTCGCAGCTGCGTGCGGTTGGGCCCGTCGCCAAACGAGTTCTTTGTTTTAACACCCCGACAGCACCACAAAAACCATGAGAGAAACACTCCAACTGCGGTTTTTGTGGGCCCTCCTCAGCCGCGTTAAGGTCGGCAGGTGGAGCACTTTGCCGCTTAATTTATGTTCGGCCCCTCGGTGAGGCCGACTCTTTGGACTCCTCTGCCTTTGCGTCTTCGGCCTCGTCCTCGTCCTTTTCGTTCCGTTTCTCCTCCTCCTCCTCCTCCTCCTGTTCCTCCTCCCCCTCGTCCTCCTCGTCCTCCTCCTCCTCCTCCTCCTCCTCCTTTTCTTACTCGTCTTTCTCCTCCTCCTCCTCCTGTTCCTCCCCCTCTTCCTGTTCCTCCTGTTCTTCCTGTTCCTCGTCATCCTCCAGTGCCTCGTCCTCCTCCTCCGCCGCCTCCTCCTCCACCCCCGACGCGTGTTTCGCATACCCATCGTATCGGTGGAGGAAAGTCGGCCCATCACAGCGGGCCCAGAAACGACAGGGCCGTTTTTATTGGCGTTCCCGTGTTCCGTTGTTGTTCTTTGTGGCGCCGTATGCTTGCCGGTCTTGTCGCCACTCGTTCTGTCATGTTCTGGCTCCTTTTTTCGTTCCATCCAAGAAGGGGTTGGGTATTTCATGTTTTCGATCAAAATACACAAGCAACAACCATTTCCCGATTCAAGGTACAGTTTTCGGAAGCGGTGAGGGAAGAAGAGCTTCGCTGCTTCCGCAGCCGACTACTGCCCAGACGCCGCCGAAACTCGAATTTCGAGGGTTCCTGGGGCCACGGGGGTGTCTCCCCACGGCTTCGGTTCGTTTCCAAGCTCCGGTCCGAACGCAGTTCAGGGGAGATCGGGGTGTCGATTCTCGACCCCTGGAACCCAGGCCCCAGCTGGGGGAGGGGGGGGGGAGGAACGGGCAGGGCAGGGCCCCCCTGGCCCTTGGATGCCAGAGGTCCTCCTGGTCGCGACCGACGAGACCGCGCGGTCGCGACCGCCGGCCACAGTCCCCAATCGCGACCGAGCGAGTTCGGCATCTATCGGTCTGGGCCAGGCCCGTCTCGCGCCAGGGCCCCTTCGCGCGCCCCGCCGCGGAGGCCCCCGCCTTCTCCATCGGCAAGGGCGGTCGGGAGGCAGGCCCCCGGGACGGCTTTCGCGCGCGCGCGCGGGCCCCTGTCTCGAAGGGGGGGAGTGACTTGTGAACACCTTGCGGCCACACGGTGTCCGAAGCCAACGCCCACGCTTTCTCGCGGCGTGAATCTGGCGAACTCCTGATCCGCAGTCGACGGTCTGATATTTTTCAGACAGGTCCAAAATGGAGCTTGGGAAAAGCAGCGTGTGTCACAGGATGGCGCGAGCATTAACGAGGATGTGCTCGATGACACTGCCCACTTGTGAAGGGCCACGTGGGAGAATCCGGGATGCTCAAAGGTTGAGTGCTCTTCCAGGTACATTAATGGAGGGGGATTCGCATGGGTTTGTTCAATGATTGGTTGGTGTTTCAAGTTTTTGTTACCTGGTGGGCGCCTTGTGGGAGCCCTCGTGTCATGGCCTGGCACTCTTCTAGGTCTTGGCATAACGGGCGCCCGCGAGCGCCTCGTGGGGGGGGGCGCCCCGCTCGGTTTCGGGCATTCCTTGCTTTTTGTGGCTGGTCGGCTCCCGTCGGTACCTCGTGGACGCCTCGTGCGGTGAGTGCTGGCTGTTGCCCGACAGACTACAGAGGGGGCGTTCATTGAGGAATGTGCCCAGGAGGCTGCAGACCCTGGAGGATTCCTTTTTATGATGAGGGCGGCGGTAAAATCCATAGCCGATCCACTATTGGATTTCCACACGTTTCCAGACCCTGGATTCCTTATCTAAGGAGTCCTTGTCCATTGCCCCCCACCGTAATGGTTGTTCCCTTCCCTGATCATTGGATGCTGGAGTTTTCCAGTCGCGACCGGCAAATCGGTCGCTACCGTTTTTGTTTCAGATTCCAGTATATCGGTCGCGACCGACTTGCTTCAAAATCGGTTGCGACCGATCGGTCGCTACCGGTCGGCACTCAAAATCGGTGGCGACCGGTCTCGATCGATTCCTATTATTTTAAACATGTTGTGGATGGAAGGAAAACACGATGTCCGCCTGGGCCCCCGTCGGAGGAGCGGAAATGCGCGCGCAGTGGCGCGCGCTGTGGCGCGCGATCCGCCGCTCGTAATAACCTGAATGCGCGGGCGTCGCGGCGACGATGCTGGCGACGGCAATGACGACGGCGGGATCTGCGCAGACGGCGACGACGACGGCGGCAACGGCGACGGCGGCGACGACGAACATCGCGGCGACGGCGGCGACCCCAGAACTCCAGATTCCGTATTTTTTTAATTGTGTTGATTCCGCAACTTATCGCTCAGCAAAACGACTTTAAGATTATTTAGTAATATTTACGCCAAAGGATTCCTAAATAACACAACATATACATTTGCAATTCGTTTAGAATTGTCTGAAAAGTTATTTGATTTTCACGCCTATACCTCCCGCGGGGGTCGGTGGAATTTTCTCGGGGTCGGGGCGGGACTTCTGGATTGTGGTCAAGTGCTGTAGCGTTGCCAGGGTTGCGAACTACATATGACTTCCATTTTTCCGACAGGGGGGCGACTTTGTTGGGGAGCTCAAATTGTCTGCGTTCTCGAGTTGCGCGTCCAAACCGCAGCAGGCACCGAACGTCAGACCCACCCGTAGCCGTTTGGGCTCAAGAACTTGTTCAGGATGTCGCGAGCCGCTCGCCCACAATACCTTGAAGTTGATGGCGAGAAGCTGTTGGCTGATTGGGCGCCCTGCCTCACGCTCCGTGATCCAGGATTCGCGTGGACAGGATCGGACTACAGTCGTTCTGGGGGGAACCAAAGCATCGACAAGGCTGGCCTGATGAAGTACAAACAGGTGTTGGCCCCGCTACTCCGTGCTGCTCCTTCTGGCTTTCCCACACAAGGGAGCCTTCGTGCTGTATTCGTCGTCGCTGATGCTCGCTACGGGGTCCTTGGCACTAACGAGAAAGGCCGTTTCAACGCGTCCAACACCGCCACTGCTATCTTCAGGAAGATGTGCAAGGACGTCTACAACCTTTGCAAGGTTCACGTGCCGCCTGAGCTACAGGAGCTCGCGGACTTGATCACCCCGCAACCTCCGAAGAAGGACGGCCGCGCCAAGCAGTCAGAACCACCAACATCGCAGCCAGCGACGCCGCCACTTGCGAGCGAGCCAGTGTTCGCGACCTTCGATTCGGAGCCAGAGGTCGAGAACCTGATCCCGGAGTCGGACTCGGACGCGGACTCGGTGGAGTTCGTTTCTTGCAAGTGCCAGTGTCCCAAGTGCGTTGGACCTCTCATAATCCCTGGCGCCAAGAAGGGCGAGCAGAAGAAGGACACTACGGGTGGTGATGCCGACGAAGCTGGTTCTGTTCAGAAGTGCCGCCGCATTTGGCACAAAACTGATATGGTGAAAGTTGCGACGAGAACTTCAGCTCCAGTCAATGCAGCAGCAGTTGGGAAAGAATCCACGGCTCCAGCAGCCACAGTCGATGGGTGCGCGGCCGAGTGTACCAAACCGAGCAGGAAGGCGCCTAAGAAGGCCCAGAAGGCCCCCCAGGAGGCGTTGGACCAACCGATCGTCTTCCCCATCGAGATCGTGAGCCGCGCGACGGGCAGCAAGGAGTCATGCATCCTTCAGAACACGTCGAAGTTTCGGTTCGTGGTATCGGTGAAGGAGAAGAACAGCACCAACTACTTGGCCATCGTGAACACGATTGCTGAGAAGATCAGGGCATCGGAGGTCACTACCGCGAATGAGGCGATGCAGCTAGCTTTGGAGATGTCGAATGAGTTCTTAACGATCGTTTGCGGTTGTAGTTGATGCTCCAGTGGGGCTGGAGCCTCAGCGTTGAGACGGGCACGGCATAGCAATGCTGCTGGATCAGCTAGCTAAAACACATCGTCGGAACCATCGTCACCATCATAAGCAACATCAGCATCAAATCCATCACCATCATCACAACCGTGATCGTCATCATTATTATCATGATCACCATCGTCATTGTCGCCATTATTGTCAATATCAGCATTGTCGTCATCATCATGATCATCGTCATCAAACATCAATGGGTAGCTCGTATGGGTGGCATCGTCGGTGTAACCATCGTCGTCGTCATCATCGCAATCGTCAACGCGGCGCTCATCGCCGCAATGTTCGCCACCATCCGCGACATCATTGAGCATCGTCTCAACAGCTACGTCACCATCAACACTGCCACGCCGCCATTTTTCGAAATGCAGCAGCTGCCCCCCGAGGAAACTGAAACGAGACGTTGAAACTGAAACCGACGAAACCGAAAGGGACGAACGTGAAACTGGACTGCTCGAGGTTAGCATTCGTTCCGTAGCCATCTGCGCCCAGCGGTTTCAGGCGCCGCGCACATGTCACGTCAAGCGCGCTCTCTCTTTATCCAGACCGTCCAATGGCCAATCGCCTCGTGTGCATGCTCGGAGGCAGTATCACTCCGAAGGAGGAGGCCAAGGATCCAGCGACCGCGCCCGAGGCAAGCAAGGCGCCGCCGCCGATGAAGGGCACCGAGCTCTCGACGGCAGCCAAATCCAAAGCAAAGCTGAAATCAGTCGGGATGGCCACCCCCGTGGACGCTGCAGATGAAGGGCAATCAACCGCGCCTGAGCCAACCGGCGCCCCAGAGGTTCCCCCTGCTCGTTCGCCTGTCGTGAAGAGTGAAGTCGGTGCGTTTGCGGCCGCCCCGCCGCAGGAGCTCGGGCGGGTGCCGTTTTCCTCGGACAAGGCTCGGTACAACAAGTTCAATTACAAGTTGAACTTGAGTAGCCAAGATACGAAAGACAAGTGGGAGGTGGTGCGAGCTCTCGATTTGTCGAGTCCAAGTGAGTTCAATAGCTTCGTGGAGTACGTGACCAATCAGGACTTCAAGGAACAACGCTCGCGCAAGCGCGCCATTACTCATATGGGCGAGGACGCCGTCGCGAGGAAGTGGGTAGCCTGGAAGGAGGCCGAAGACATGGAGGGTTGCGATGTGTGGCTGGCCCAGCTCAAGGCTAAGACGATCGAGTCGAGGCCCCATGAGAATCCCCCCCCTCGATTGCGGGATCATTGGCCTTATAATTTACAAGTTCGCCGTGTGGTCCAGACGGAAGTCAAGAGCAAGCGCGCCGAGGACTGCGATGCGCTCAGCACCGAAGTCTCTCAGGATGATATCGAGCAGGCCACGGAGACTTTCGAGGCGCAGTTCGCTTCGCACCAGCTTGCGACGGCCTTTGCGACGCCCAACCTTTCGTCGGGTGGGTCTTCGGCGCTGTCGGACGCGGGCGAGCTGCAGAAGACGCCCCAGGTCTCCGAGAAGGACAAGAACACGATCTCGCACGTGCGCAAGGCCCACTCGGCATGGGACAAGCAGAAGCGCGAGACCTTTGCCCTGCTCATTCGCAGCAAAGGCCACCGCAACACCAGCGGGTGCCAGTTCGAGAAGGACCTGGAGGCCCTGATCCCGAAGGGCGACGCTGAGGACAAGAAACTGATCGATGTGGAGGCCGAGCACATCCAGGGGGAGGCCCTGGCCGACACCGAGACTCATGCTGCTGCGAGCGCGACCGAGGCCATCAAGCTCCACATCAAGGCCGCCCAGCAGATTGCCATTGCCATGAAGCCATGGTTCAAGATCTGAGTCCAAGCTGTCGGCTCTGTCGTGGGCCAGCCTCGCCCGCCAGCGACTGGCCAATCTGAGAATCTGAAAATCTGAATCCAGATTTCAGATTTCAGATTTGGTGTTGTACGTATACAACAACATACAGAACCAAATCTGAAACCTGAATATCTGAATTCAGATTTTCAGATTTTCAGTTTCGAGTTGTCTAGCCCGCCCTCCGACGGACGAGGGGGGGGGGGGGGGGGGGTCAAGCAGTGGGGGCGTGCGAGCCCAGCCCACCGCGCAGCCGAGTTTAGGGCTCGTGTCTAGACAGCTGGCGATACAACAGACTGCCCTCCTCCTCTCCCCCCCCCCCCCCCCCCCCCCTCCTCCTCCTCCTCCTCCTCCCCAGGCGGCCCACCAGCTGGAGACTCTGGAAAGTGATGTCAGGCTGCGAGGGGGAATTCGGGGAACCCCCCTTTGGCTCGAATGCAATATTCTGTTCAGTCGGGACCCCCCCCCTTTGGCTTGAATTCGCCCCCCCCCCCCGCCCTTTGGCTTGAACCCCCCCTGGTCGTTTTTTCCCGCGACGTGCCTATGCAGAAGATTGGGGTGACATCCTGCCCCCTCCTCCCCCCCCCCTCCTCCCTCCCTTTGCCTGGCGCATGTTGCTTCACAAGGGGGTCGGGGGTAACGTCCTACCCCCCCCCCCCACAGCTCCTCGCACCCCCGTTGCCTGGCGCATATTATTTCACAGCGGGGATCGGGGGTAACGCATTGTCTCCTCCATTTGCTTGGCACTTGTTATTTCGCAAAGGGGCCAGGGGTAACATGCTGCCTGCTCATCCCCCCCCCCCTCCTCCCCCTTTGTCTGGCACATGTTACTTCGCAGGGGGTCGGGGGTAACGTCCTGCCTCCTCCTCCCCGCCCGCGTCATTGTCCTCTCCTCCCCCCCCCCCCTCTTTCTCGTCATCCCACGTGCTTCAAGTATACTGTGTTGATGGGCGAGATGCTTCGATTTGGGCCCCATGGGGAAGCATAACAATTGCCATCATCGCCATCGCCGCTCATGGCAAGCATAGCCATTCTCATCGCACTCGCCACCAGCATCACCATCATCACCACCGTCAGCATAGCCATCACCATCATCACCGTCGCCATCGTCATCATCAGCATGAATCACACATCATCATCATCATCGTCATCATCATCACATCTGCCATCGTTATCATTAACCGCAGCCGTTTTGGCTCAGTCATTTGTGGCTCATGTCCGTTGTAATGAAGGTCCCTATTGCACTCTTCGCATGTATGGTAAGTCAATTGTGGGCGCCACCACGCGCAGAGGTTCGACTGCGCGGAGGGTGGAGACAAAGACAAGCTGCTCAGCGCTTGGCCGACGAGCCTCAGGCATCGTCGACGTCCTGCTTGGCAGGCGGCCAATTGCTACTGTGGGCAGACGGCGTTATTTCAGCTGCGCAGCTTCAGCGCACGATGGCCGAAGCTGTCGCAGATGGGCTTGTCCATCCAATGGTCAAGCGACTCGCCCAGCTACCTCCTGGTGGCCGCGCCAACGCAGCCCTCGTTCGCTTGCTGATCACACAGACATCCCTCGTTGACAGGCTGATTGCACTCGACAATGGGCCTATCCACAACATGATGCTGCCGTCGGAACTGATCAACACCTTTTTGTACTATGTACCCAGAAGAGTTCAAGTGGTGCTTTGGTGCTGAAGAAAATATGGTGCGCGAGTTTTGGCAGGGGATTCAGTCGTCTACAGCTGCCAAGGCCCATCTTCGGGACCATCCTGCGATCCAAGGGATGACTTTGGATGAGCTGTCGCACGTTATCCCTCTGAGTGTACACGAGGACTCGGGCCCAATAACTAAACGGTTGAGTGCTGGCCACGTGTCGTTCGCATCGGTGCTTGCCGATGGTTCTGGGAAGCGCACTCATCATCTCATTGCCACACATGTGAAAGAGACAGGGGAAGGCGTGCAAACGAGAATGTGGGAACTTCTTTTACGAGACTTTGACTCGCTTCTCCTTGGCGCCTCTGGAGGTCGCATCGTCGCGCCTGCAGGCCCTGGCCAATGCTGGAAATTCTTGTTTCTGTTCTGCAAGTGTGACGAAGAGGCTCGTTCAAATGTGTTTGGGTTTCCACATTGGAGTGCTGGGGAACAGATGTGTTCGGAATGTTTGGCAGACAGAACCCATCGTCCGTTTACAGACCTCCAAGGGTCCGCGGCCTGGCGTTCGACTGAGATCTCATCGCGTGGCCCGTGCATTGCAAGAGTCAGACAACCACTTCACCCGCTCGTGTCGAGCAAGTACTTTTGGCGGTACATGTTTTATCTGGACCTAATGCACGTCATGGATTGCAAAGGGGTGTCGGCCCTGGTGTACGGCGGTGTTGTTGCTACATTAATAGGGGACGCTCGGCTGGGGCCAAACCAGGCTGCGAGATTGGCCCTGGTGAACTCCAGAATGAAACAGTGGTATACTGATCATCCACAATCGGTTCGGCTACCGCCGATTCTGTTGAAGAACGTGTATAATGACGGCTGGGCAGATCTGAGTGGCCCAGCAATCAAAGCAGCAGCCACTCGCCATGCCGCAGGTTTCTTCAGAGACTTGGTTTTGGAGTTCTTTACATCCCAAACGCCACACGATTGCTCGATCAGAGATGTCACTGCCACTCTTGTTGAATTCTACGACATCATATCTCGGCATGGCAGGTTCTTGCCTAGAGGTGCCATCTTGCGCGCGCAGGCTTTGTGCATCAGCTTCGGTACCTCATACCAACGGTTGCGAAACATTTGCAGGGAGAGGCATCAGATGCATTGGCCAGTAAAGCCAAAATGCCACAAGATGCAGCATTTTCCATTGCTTGCGCGCGTCATCAACCCAATGAGGTTGACATGCTACGCAGACGAGGGGCAGGTTGGGACAACCTGCCAGGTTTGGAAGCGCTGCGTGTCAGGGCCATGGAGGCCCCATGCGCAGCGACTCGTGTTGATCAAGAGATTGCTGGCGCTTACGCTGCGTTTTGAGATTGATAGGGCCACGACTCGCTAGGCAACATAAAATGATGCGTGGACTGTTGCAGTTCAGAAATACCCAGAGGCTTTCGCCATTCCGCCAACCCGCCCTGCTACTCCAGAGGCTTTCGCCATTCCGCCGCCCTTCCCTACCCCCTTGTCCTCCTCCTCCTCCTCCTTCTCCTCCTCCTCCCCCTCGTCCACCTCCTTCTGAGGCGCG